GTCACGCAGTGACCAGGCCACCTCACGGGCTACTCTCACCTCTGGGGAGTGTCACGGCATGTCACACAGACGCTGGGGCCTCACCGGGGTCACCGTGTCTCTGACGGCTCTTCTGATGAGGACAGTGGCTGCTCTCAGGGTGCTCTTTACGTCCTCCCTCGAGGTCCCGACAGGCATCTCCACCAACTGCTTACACAAGGCGAGCAGCGCATCTTCCCGGTACGACCAGGTCTTGGAATAGGCCCCTGCGACCTGCCACAGACCGAGGCCTGCTGACTCAGAGCGGGCGTTTCTGTGACGCCACCACCCCCATACTGTGCAACCCCCATACTTGGTTTTGAATGAAGAAAAATCTTTTCTAAGAACAGGATAATCATTTTTCCAATAAGGAAAGTTTAAAACTATGTGGAAATATGGACAGTATTAAGATCTCCACCAGGAGAGGTTTTGAGCCGAGAACTCAGGGAAAGGCTGCTGGGCTCGTTTTGCGAAGGGGCTGCAGTTGGCTTCCATTTGCTCTGTGCCGCCAGCATTTCCCCGGGACGGGTGGGTGTCGGCAGAGGGAGCTGTGCTCAGCCTGGCCCTGTCCTACCAGAAACGCCCAGCCTTAGACGAGCGCTCATTCACAAGACCTAACGTCCGCTTAGGCTTCGGTTTTGCATACTCAGCAATGATCCCAGGACTCTTCAGTGGCGTAACTGGGGCAGAGGGTACGAGCAGGGTGGCACCACGTGCCCATACAACACGCTCGGCACCTCCCTTCTTACCAAGGTCTCCCCGAGCACCTCCACGGCGGAGCTGGCCTCCCTCAGCGCCTTCTCTGTTAGGGGCTCAGGCTCGCCCCCAGAGCTTCCTTTGGGAGCCTCGCTGGCGTCCGCGTCACTCTTCTGGGGCTCTGGGGCTGCTGCAGGCTGCCTGCGGACAGTGGGAAGAGGCCGCTCGTCGTGCGGCAGGACCTCGAGCTGTGGGAAAGGGAGGGCGGCTGCAGAGCTCAGCGGGCTGGCACTCTCCGCCCCGAGACCCTGCGCCTGCCCCACAGGATTCCTGCTCCCCTGACCCAGGCTGGACAGCGGCCTTTTGCTAAACTATCAGTCCCACCTGATCAGAATAATGTATATAATAGGATGTAACTGAAAAAATTAGATCACAGTTTCTATTCTGTAAACTTATTAGAGACCTAATAAAAAAGCAATGTAGATTCTGGCTCAACTACTATCTGCCCCCAGCAATTTCAGTCCAATCGACATGTAGATTGCTGAACTAAAAGCTTACTTTTTTTCTGACAAGGCTTTGATTTTGTTCTTAGTTTATGACTTAGAAATAAGCATTGGGCCTCATTTTAAACATGCTCATTATCCGGCAGCCTTACACTTAAAGCAGGCAGCAAGTCACAGATGTGCAAACAGCCTCTTTCCGCAGTGCCTCCTGCTCTGGGCCGGCTGCGGTCTGACCCTTCCTCCTTTACCCCCAGACATCCTTGCGGAGCAGCGCCGGCGCGCCAGGCCCCGGGGCCAGAGCTTCTGTTCTCATGGGGGACATAGGTACACAAGTGGACGTAAGTAGCCAACTCTCAGGGAATTAGGTGGGAATAGAATGAGAGCGGCTCCTGAGTCCCTCTCTGAGGCAGCTGTCACTGTGGGCTGAGCAGACAAGGGAGCTCTTTATTCACACTTAATACATATGGAGATATTGAGTGTATACAGTGTGTGAGCATAAGTTTCTCATATTCTAAAATTTACTGAAGTTTTACTAAAATGCCAAAAGAGGATAAATTAGAGTATTTTGAAGTTCAGTTATTACATATAACAATCAAGCTATAGGTGAGAGGTCACGGGTGGGATGACGGTGACACTCAAAGATGTGCCTAAGGGTGCGAGTATCTTGGGGGTGGCCAGCAGTACAGCCCTCCCTGTTCTGCCAGGCCTCGGACTGCAGCAGGCACCTGCATGGGTCCGCTGGGCATCCCCCTGCCCAGTGTCCATTGGCCACATGGCCACACCTGTCAGCAGAAGCTGCAGGGGCCTAACGAACCAGGCTGCATGCTTCCCTTCTTTGGTTCTTGTCATCGCTGCAGGGGCTGGCATTTGTCTGAGGCCCATCCAGTTGGGGTGACCTGGGGACTCTTGAGTAGAGGGGGTTGAGCACTCCTTGTCAGGGCAGACCTGAAGCTGAGGGCCACAGGACAGTCCCAGCCCTGTGTGACTTGGAACCATAGAAAAGAGTTGAAAGATAGGAAGAACCCAGGCTTTGATGACATTGTTGAGCTACTGAATCAAATTGACCCTGGAACCAGGAGTTCTTAGGTTCCTGGTCACAGGAGCCAATGATCCCCATGTGAGCTAGTTCTCTGTCACTTACAGTGCAGCAAGTTCTCCCAGGCAAGTCACCACATGGCTTGTGCCGAGGGTGGTCCCATTAGGCACTTTATGAGCACTGTCTCGTTTATTCCTGGAAATAACCCTTTAAGTGGGTGTCTGTACACTTGCAGAGAGAAAAGTGAGGCCCAAGGAGGTGTGCCCCAGACCACCGGCAGACGGGGCAGAAGTGAGCAGGAGGCTGATACATCCCCAGTGCTGGGAAGGCCCTGGCACAACACAGGTCCTCACTACATACCTGCTGGGTAAACTGCATGCGACTGCAAACCGAGCTATCTACGTGGGTCTGGAGACGCAGGTCTGGGGCGGGTGGGGACGGGTCTGCTGTGCAGCGCTGAGGAGAGGCGTCTCGGGGGTGCGCTGAGGGCTTCTCTGGAAGGAAGGACTCTGCGAACCAGCTTTCTGCCACTCTGTCCTCTTGCAGCAGAGAGGGCACGGGTCGTTGGTGGTGAGGGCTGCTGGGGTGAGTGGGCAGATGGAGGGGCAGGTCTGAACGCCTCTGCACCTGAGGAAAACACAGGACACTCAGTTCCCGATGCCATGGGCCCCACCACCTGGGGGAGCGGTGGTCCAGGAAGGCAGAGTGATGGTCCGCGCTGAGTGCCCTGAGGTCTTGTTGCATCCCACCCCATCGCGGATGGCTGCTGAGTGGACCCCAGGAGTGACATGCACACCACAGCCGAGGGTGGTGACAGTGTGGGCCACTGCAATGCAGAGAAGGACAGGGCAGGGAGCACCTGGGCTGGGTCCACACAGACTACTCAAAGCCTGGCTCTGGGGTGTCCCCATGTCAGCAAAAGCAGGTCACTCTGTGTCCTTGTCACAAGTGAGCTGGATTTTGTAGTATGCGCTGGGCATGCAGTAAGTGCTTTATAGACAGGTTATCTCATTTGATGCTCACCATTCTGACCCCCTGTAAACCTGAGTGAAACTGAGGCATAGTTCAGACAAGGATTAAGCTGTGGTCACGCAGCTTGATGGTGGAGTCGGGCGCTGAGCCGGGGCAGTCCGGTGCCAGGGTCTGCCACTCAGCCGTGACTCTGGGCCTGGGTCCTGCTCTGTGGCGAGGCGCCAACCGCCTTCCCACATGGGCTCTAGAGCCTGGAGCAGAGCACCTCCATGGTGCACGTTCTCAAGATGGGGCCGGTAGGGTAACTGTCCCACAGCACTCACTCCCGAGGGGCGCAGGGGCCAGGGCTGTCAGCAATTCATTTCACAAACAAGGAAACCGAGAGCGAGGGATGAAGTGACTCCTGGCAAGGCAGCAGAGCCGAGGCCTTCCTGGCCCCAGACGTGTCCCTTTCTCTCCTGGGAATTCTCCTGCAAGAGCATGAAGGCAAAGACCACCCCATGCGGCCACAGGAGCTTAGGTCACCTGCCAGGAGTGTCCCCTGAGCATTACACATGTGCGTTTCACAAAGTCGGTACGCCATGAACTCTGTGGTCGCCTGCTGCCTCTCTGGGGCCCGGCCCTGGCACCTACCAGCTCAGGGTCCTCGAGGCTGTGGAGTGCCAGCTGCTCGTACACTTGTGCGCGGAAGCGCTCCATCTGCTGCTTCTTCTCCTTGGCGAGGTCATAGTCCTCCTTCTCCACCGCGCAGCGCTTTTCTACCTCATACCGCCCGAGGCGCTCACCAACCTGCAGGCACAGCGTTTGCTGGCTTCAAACAGGAACCAACTCCCATCAAGAGCAAACGGAGCACTTAAAGCCAGGCTTCCATGAGAGCGGCTACCTCGGCAGCTGCGGGGGGCAGGGGTCAGAGCAGAACGAGGGGCCCCGCCCACCCACAACGGTGGCGCTGCATGTCACTGCAGCATCAGCAGATCGGTCATTTTTAGAACCTCTCTCGTGTTTCCTGCTGCTCTGCGGTAGCAGCTCGGCACTTGGCGCTGACATCTGAGGGCGGGTCTGGGGAGCAGCGGCCTGTGCTGCCGTTTCAGTCTCTGTTCAGGCGCTCAGCTGTCCATAGTGGACCCACGTCCGTGGACCCAGCTTACATCTGTGGACCCACACTAATCTCCACAGCTGTTAGTAACCCTTCCTTCCCTTTAACATTAGGGTATTTAGACATAAAACCTGTCTCGAACGGGAGGAGCTGCTCCTCTCTCCAGAGGCTCTACCTTTTGCAAGTCAGCGATGGCCTGTTTCAGGTTCTTGGCATAGTCGTACTGCTCCTTCCGCACAGCTTCACGCTTTCTCTCATCTAATTTGCGTATAATCTGTGCAACTTCTGGATCTTGGTACATATCAAAGGCTAAGTCATCAAGTGGAGAAATATAGTCATACTTCCTAAAGAAAGAAATGAGTATCTCAGTGCCAATGTTCCATGTGGCAATGTAAAGGCAGGCGTGGCCCTGCGGGCTCAGGGCTGAGTGTCGCCCATCCCAGCAGTTCCTGCCTGAGAAAGCAGGGGCTCAGTGAGGTTGGTAGTGGGCTTCAGGTTGAGGCTTGAGAGTGCACGTGGGTCTGACTCCACAGATCTGCCCGTGATCATTAATTAAACTGCACTCAGCACCTTTGGTGCCTCCATTCATTCATTCACTCATTTATTCAACAACCATTTGGAGTGCACTCTGTGCCCGACGCTATTCTAGGTACCGGGGACGTGACAGCGCATGGTCATCTGCAGAATGGGGCATAACCAAGAACAAACTAGGGGCTGGCCGACCCCACCCTGGCAGAGCTGGAACTGGGGGCCCTTGGGGAGCAGTCACTGCGATGAGCAGCCAAAATAGAGAATCGCCATGACCTGGTCCTGGTCTGATGCTCAAGGGTCGACTACATGAGGTCACCATCAAGCCCTGCAGGAGATGGAAAATCCTTCCAGGAGTAAACGGCCTTCCCAGCTACCCAGCTACCCGAGTGATCCATTTCTGATTAAGGATCACCTCTATTTGCACCTTCAAGGTCCACCGCGGGCCAACTGCTCTCTTCTGGATCTAACGTTTAGGACAGCAATGCAGTCTAATTACTCAGCAACACTGTTAACAGAGGACAAGCTTTTAAGTCTCTGCATTTCTGCTACACGAGATCAGCCTGGGGTGAGCTCTGGCTTGGCTATCTTTACATATGGGTAAATTTAAATTAAAATAGTACTTGTAAAAAGTTTGGGTGTCTAATAAACTCAAGCAGTATACAGGACAACCTCACCTTTCAGAACGACCTAGTGCCCCTACCACGCCCCCTATGCCTGTGATTCAGGCAGTTTGCTCAGGGCAGCAGTGCCTGGCTCAGAGGCCCACAGCTCAGGCAGCTTTGAACAATGTCAGTTAACCTCTGGGGTGACTGAATGGAGACACATGGTGTGTCTGCACAATTGCTTTATCTATTTTTACCTAAATCTGTTTTACAATCTTAGGTCTAAGTTGCTTTGCCTTCAAGTCCTAGAGATGAACAAAACAAACACTTAGTTTCATTATAAAAATGCTGCAAAGAAAAAAAATGATGTTCCTGGCATCCAGTCAGAATTCCAGCCTGGGGCAGATGGCAGGCGAGTCTCCACCTCCCACGGTGCCCCCGGTGGGGACCCGTGGCCGCAGGTCTGGGCCTGCCTGGCCCTTCTGAGCACCTCCTTTGCACAGGCCTCTCTTACCTGACCCTCAGAAAGCCCTGTGGATGTGGCGGCCCACCATCCCACCAGGCTGACGTGATTGAGAACTGATTCACACAGAAACAAAACAACCCTGAGAACTTTTATCAGAGATGCCAATTGGGATCCAAGAGTTGAGCCGTTCCACCAGCCGGGGCGTCACTGAGGGCAGAGCAACTGCTGCTGTGGACATGGGATGGCAGTGGAGGGGACCCCAGTGCTCCCCCAGGCGCTCTGGTCCCTGCCGCTGCTGGTACTGTCAGGCATCAAGAGCCGGAGGTACAGATGGAGGAGCCGGTGTGCTGATGGCACGTTTCATCACGTTTCACCCACTTCACCTTGAAGGCACTCCACTCCTAACCACCTGAGGGCCTGCAGGGATGGGAGGCCTCTGCGGAATGCCAGGCTCGCTATCCTCTGTGTTTCATGCACAGGAGGGCCTGGCTTAGGCACTCACTGCTTCACGTCAGCAGTCTAGGCGACATGCAGGTGAAAGTGGGGAACCTGAAGTGTGGGTAAAAGCCAAACGTCTATTTTTTAATGATTTTTCTTTTTGGGAAGCCGCTGTCAGGGAAGGAGATGAGGTATCATTTGAGTTCCTCCTTCCTTAGGCTGGCACCTTTGGAGGGGGTCTCCTGGCTTTAATAAACAGTGGGCACATGGCACAGGTGCCCCAGGAGCTCTCTGGTCTGAAGAGGTGCCCAGGGAACAGGGGTCTGCAAAAAGGACCATGGCCCTCAGACTGCTCTCTGCTCCTGGCCTACTGCAGGTCCTTACCTGTTAAAAGGCAGCAAAACTAGCAAATGCATGAAGTTGTCATGTGCGGAACACAGAGGCACAAAACCCGACATGTGGCTCCCTTGTCCCTTGAAAATAAGTTAAGTTTTAAAGTAGACATAAGATGAAGCCTCCAGTACCTGAAAATCTGGGTCGATTAATACCCTTAACTCCTACCTATGGAGCTGCCCATGCCAATCAAATGCCACAGGATGGCTGACAGATCTTTTATCTGAATGCATTTTAGGGACTTTCTAGTAATACCCGAACACACAAGAGATGAAGCTGTCTCTGAAGGGAAGATGAACACGTGCTAAATCAAACAGCGACCCTAATCTTCAGGTGGACTTAAGGCGATCCTTCAGCGGCTTAGCCAGCACAGGCTGAACCCAGAGGCCCCACATCCGGGCTCCCTGGGGAACGACCCACACCGTGGTGATCCTGCCTTGCGGGAGCGGCGCTCTTACCCAGAACAGGGGCCTTCGAGAGCCGGGTCCTCGGTGTTGTGGCCCACATAATGGTCAATCAGCTTCTCTCTAGAGGTCTTTGGGGGCAGAAAGTCCTGCTTAGTATCTCAGAGGAAAAAAGGAATGACACAAAACATTAATTAAGAGATGATTTGATATAAAGGTGTCAGAAAGCTTCCATGGTCCTGGTTTTTTGGAGGGACAAGTAAAATTCTTGAGTAAAAGATGGTTTAATATACTACACTGCTGAAAATCATCTGATAGTTATTCACCAGACAATTTTATAAAGATTTTTAAGATGACACTTTTCATGGCAAAAATAAATAAGAAATACATTTTCTTTGTTAGGAATGAAACTTCTCAAACTTACAATATTGCTTTCATCACCGAAATCTGCAGGGTCTCCAATGATATTTATTGCAACCAGAGCAACCTAAGAAAGAGTTAATAAATAGGAATTAAGTATGAAATGTTTGCAGTGACTTAACTCCTTCACAACACAGTGCTGACCCATCGTCGTCATACGGGGCGATGTGCGCACAGTCCGCTCATTCCAGACGCCATGCCAAGGCACAGAATCACTAGGAATACTTTTTGTAAGTTACATAAGTTAATATTCTAATGCTGAGCCAACCGTCTATTTTAATGTTCAAAGGATATTAAAACAATAGCTTAAAAATCCTCCAAAGCTTTATACCATAGCCTTGCATGGAGGCATCATGGGATGGTTAACCGAAGGCTTACTATGGGGCCACAGCTACACAATCTTGGCAAATCACACAACACAGCGAAAGCTACATCAACACAATTTGGTTTGTCCAGGCCAGTGAACCTCACCCGAGGGGATGGGTCACTGTCCATGTCTTCCCTTTCTTGAGGGTCCCTGTGGCTGAAGTCAGGAACTGGGGGTACTGCAGGTGAATGCATGCAGAGCAGGCGGAGGAGAGAAAGGTGAAGAATCCCTCTCTTGGCTTCCTGTTAAGTGGCGCCTCGAAGGACCAAGCGACAGAGCTCTCCTCTGACTCGCGCGCTTGTACAGAACTATGATTTGTCGGGATGCTTGCAGTCTACATGGGGAGGTGCCGAGGGCTATAAATATGTGTGCTAATTAAAGGATCGCGCTGGGCACATGTGATTTCCACCACACTAATTGTGCCCCCCCCCATCCTGGAGAAAGGGGACAGAAGGAGGGAGGAAGGACGAGGGTGACAGTGGTAGCAGCCCCTTGGAGCTGTACTGCAGGCAACATTAAACCACGTTCCCAATTTTTACCAGGGGATTTATCTTGTAAAAGTTTAGTGGGTTCATTTAGAACCTGTTGCCCAAATGAAATATAACACAAGCCACAAATCTAATTTAAAGTTTTCTAACACAGCAAGAAAATTAAAAAAATGAAATTAATTTCAATGATATATTTGAACCTAACATATCCAGACTATTATCATTTCATCATGTCACTGGCTCTTTCCTCTGTGTTGGGCCTTGAAGTCCAGTGTGGGGCTGAGCTGTGTGGCCCGCTGCATTGAATGGCCACGCAAACACGGGGGCAACAGCCACATGTGGCCCGAGGCTCCTCACTGGGCAGTGCGGCTCCAGGAGAGTCTAACATTCCCTCATGAAAACTGCTATCTTAAGCGAAGGCTTGGAAAACGCCTTTGCGAACAGGCACAGGACGATGTGATCCTGTAAAGAGGTGGTGGGCAGCCAAAAGTGAAGGCATTTGAGCCAGACCTGATTATGTATGTTGAATTTGTTGACATGGTTTTGGTGTAAAATCAGCTTCAGAAACTGTCCCACCGCATCCACATAAACTGATTTTAGTTCCCGGGCTTTGCAGCCTGTCTTTTCGTTGTCACAGAGAGACACGTAGCTGAAAGAAAACACATACGAGAATCACGCTGGTAGGAAAACTTGCCGTTCAGTGACTCTGCCCCCTTCTCCTGCTGAGCTCAATAGGTTTAAAGAAAAGTTCAGTCTAGAATGAAAAAAGGCTAGGAAAAAAGCCCAAAAATCAAGTGCTAATTAGTATTCTTAAGACAAGTTCTGCATCTGAAAAGCAGAGTTGAATACAATGGGTACAAGGACAACACTGTTCCGGGAGCATTTGCTCTATGAGGCAGGTGGTGAGACACCGTGCGACCTTGAACCAGACACAAGTGCAAAAGGGGCAATTCAGTAGTTTGTAGTTGCTTTGAGGTGGGATTGGTCAGGTTAAAGCTACCATTATAAATCTCAAATTTCTTTCTTACCCAAGTCTTCGAAACCGCTCTGCCTGATATGGTACAAAATACTCAGGTCGGCTTTCGCTAATGTAGAACTCAATTTTACTTGAAATCATGTATTGGTGAGCAAGTAACTGTAATTTTCTTATACGACATCTCTCCACCGTTTGAAGAACAATTTCTTGTGGAAATTGGCAAAATCTGAAAGCAAAGACAGTTCTGTTTGTCGGCGCAGTGACTGTGGAGGGGTCCCGGGTGCCTGCAGCCGGGCTCCCAGGTCACGGGGACTGACCCCGGGTGTAAGGCACCGGTGGAATGAGGGGCCCTTGCCTGACTCTTGTTCTGTCTGCTTCTCAAGGTCTGAGCCTGAGCTTGGAGTTAGGATTTGATTTGATTTCCTTGTAGCCCAAGTGAATCATACTCTTGGCAGCTAGTATGAAAAAAATATACGGCCTGAAATAAAACCTGAAGTTCATCACAAGGTAAACACATCAGTCATAAAAGGCTGTACAGTGGGCAAGACTGGGCCAAAGGATCTTCTACAGGACCCTACATGCTTCAGGAAAGCCACTTACTTGCTTACAGACCCCTGAGTCATGAGTGAGTGCTACACTGTGCTCCACGGGCGGAGAAGGGGCTCCCCCCCCCCGTCCGTGCTGGGGCTCCTAAACATAAACCCGGATGAGAGCCGGCCAGAGGCAGTGTCGGCAAGGACCTCACGTGGCAGCACATCGCCACGACCGAGGCAACAGAGCGCGGTGCCCGAGACACCCTGGGGGCGGGCACGCACCAGGTCAGGCGAGCAGGGGAAGCATCTGAGGCTGTCGGCCAGGAAGACCCTTCCACCTGCAGGGCTGCTGCCCTCGGAGAGCTCAGTGAGCCCCCCAGTGTACGCGTCCCTGCCCACATGCCCGGCCCTCCGCAGCCTCTCTCCCAGCAGCCCACACTCCACCAGGAAGACAGGAGCTTTGATGGGCTCCTCTCCATTGCCCCCACGACGGAGCCGCATCCCCACTGGCGTCACCCTCCCCACCGCCCAGCTATGCTGCTCCGAGGCCACTGGCTTGTCTCTCCATCCCGTCAGCACACAAACGTGCCTTGGAAACGTCCATTTTGAGAAGGCCCTCCTGGGACCCTGCGGCCCCTCCAGCACCCACCCCTCTGCTTGGCTGCCCTCAGTGGACCTCACGTGGGAGCCATCTGTGGTCACTGTCGCCGCTTCTTCCTGCCGCTCCAGGGCCATGTCAGCCCCACACTGGTAAAGGCCACTGACCTCTACGATGCCAAGGGCAACGTGTACTTCTCGTTCAGCCCACATGCCTGAGCCCACACGCCAACCCCTCCTGGCCCTCCTCCTGCCTTGAGCTCCGTCTCGCCCTGACCATGCCCCTGGGCTGCATTCCAGCCTCCCTTTTCCATCTGCCCTCACCTTGGGGGACCCTCTCAGTCCCATGGCTTTAAGACCTCTTTCTTATCAAGAAGCCCCAACTAAACATTGTCCTAAGTCCAACTGTATGATCTGGTTGGCAACCTGACATTTCCATGTAGACACCTGGAAGGCACTAGACAAACGAAACAAACTTCTGACCCCAGGCCCCTGTCCTGCCCCAGCCTTTCTCCCTCTGAGCTTGGCCCACCTCAGCAGGGCACCCCCTGCCAAGGGCCATGCCTTTCCTTCAGCGTGACAGATGGTTAGGCTTCCTCCCCACCGCGGCCTCCTATGACTCCTGCTGTGTGATGGCCTGGCCTCTCCAGGAACACGGTGAACACCTGCCTGTGGCAGACAGGACCACTGAAGGGAACGGCATGCACAGGGCCATCAGGTGGGGCATGTGAGAACCTGTGGGGGCCTGTACGGTTAACTCCGAAGAGTGCACAGGGATGAATGGGGTGGTGTGTGCTGAGGAAGTGGGGCCAGTGAGGACTGATGGGCCAGGCTGATTCCTGGGCACCAGCAAAAGGTTTTCAAAGCCTTGAAGGTTATAAGAGAGGCACTCTTGGGCAAAAGAGCAGCCAGGAGACACTGGAAAGTGGGCAGCTATGACACAAGGGCTGTAGCCCGGCCTGGCCCAGTGCCGCTTCAGACACCCAGAGAGTAACTACTTAGATGCAGGGCCCGGGTGTGGGCAGACACTGCGTCTGTCCGTGCTTCTGTCCAACAGCATCATTGCTCACTTCATGTCGCTGTCACCTTTTGGTAATTCTCACACTATTTCAAACTTTTTCATTGTTATTTTATTTGTCACGGTGATTGGTGATCTGTGATCACAACTCACTGAAAGCTCTGATGATAATTAGCATTTTTTAGCAATGAAGTATTTTTAAGTTCAGGTATGTACATCATTTTTCTAGACATAATGCTATTGCACACTTAACAGACTGAAGAATGGTACAGATATAACTTTTATATGCACGAGGAAACCAAGACAATCACTGAACTCACTTTATTGTGATGTTCACTTTACTGTAGTGGCCTAACTCTGAACCCACGGTGTCTCTGAGGTGAGCCTGGACTACAGTTTGTGGTGAGGTTGTTCAAAACATAAGGACACTTAGCAGTATACTATGAAATAATCCTTCACTACTAAAAAAATGTCTCCAAAAACAATTTAAAGGCAACTAAGGCAACTGACAAAATCTGGAAGCTGTATACTTTAAAAAATCCTTTTAAAAAAAAGGGTTATGATTTAGCTATTCAAATGTAGGTTACGAAGAGTTTACAGGTGAATCAAAACACCCTTTAAGCTGATAATAAAATGAAATAATAGATTTAAAAAGGCTAGTATGTAGCTGTATTTTCAAGATAAAGTGATAGCTCTAGATTTTGAATAAAAATGATTTGGCAACACGCCATTCATGTCTAAAGACTAGCTGGTGGTGTGAGCTTTCTGCCCTCTCCTGGGGAAGGGCATCTGGCTCTCCGAGGATTTTGGGCTCTTGGAGCTCCTGGGTTGTGCTGGGTCCTGGAGGAACGTCCTCGCTGCCTGTGTGCCGGACCTCTGCCCACCGGAGCACCTGCTAGTGCAAGGAGCACGCTGGCACAGCACCTCAGGAAGGCTCTGTATCTAGTCTGGAGCCAAACCCAGAGAGTCCTCATGCTGTCCAAGGGCACATGTACCTTTTCTTTGGTGCCACGTCTGTCAGCCTTGAAGACATACCATGTCAAGGCATATATTTATTACTAGTAAAAAGGGTGCCCTTTCTGTATGTTTAAGTACCTTTAATTCACACATAAACCTGAGCAGGTGTAATTAGCATCCAGGACCTCTGCTGAAAGGAAGTGTATTTGTATAAAACGGTGGTCCCAGCTCACTCCAGGCCCCTTGGCCAGGGGCGAGGCAGGACCGGGCTGCTTCGTGACTCCGGGAGAAGCACAGGAGAGCCGGACTGCGGGCTCCGCAGGCTCAGACCCGGGAGGCCTGCCCGCCTGCAGGTGAAGCCTTGCCCTGCGATGCTAGCCCCGCCGGCCGTGAGGGGCTGTCTGTTCCCTTCTGCTTTACTCTGTCGCTTCATTTCTCAGGCCTCTGAAACTCAGGGGTAAGGGAACGTGGTCTTGTTTGTTGGGTCCCCTCAAAAACTCCACAAGGAAACATTTCAATTTTAAATGGGATTCACATTCACCTTTGCAGCTATACATCTTCTGAATAAAAGCAAGACACAAGTGTATAGCTGAATCTGAAATGTCATACATATTTACACACCTATGAATCAGGAGTAAATAGTACCTTCTACTCAGACTTGGAAAACAGGTCATGCGGAGAAGGGACACTGCAAAGGGGATGGACCCAGAGGGGCTGACAGTGCACAAAGCCTGATCAGTCCCCCCGTTACTCAACAGCCAACCCTGACTCTGCCTTTAGTGGAGAAAGACGGCTCTCAGGGAAAGACTTAGATGTTTTGGGAAAATACTAACCAGTATAGCATTACTCAAATAATGAACATCTTTAAAAGTATACAAATATTTAAGACAAATTTGAAAAACTTCCTTGGTTAAAGGATGGTGTTACATAAAAGCAGTTAGATGCAAAATCTATTACTATAGGAGCACAGCCATGAACTAAGAAATTTGCATCCACAGACCCCTGCGTGGCACAGATGAGCATGTGAGACAGGCGTGTCATGGAGGAATGTGGTCAGGCAACTATGGGCATCATTCTCCTTCCTCCCACTCATTCGAATTTGTACACTTCCTAAGTGAATGTAGGTGAATGTTATAAGGGAAAAAGGTCCCATCATTTCTTTAAGAACATTAACAGAAGGAAACATGCTCATGTGTGAATGCAGGCAACACTGCGGCCCAGCCTGACAGCCCTGTGCGTCTGTATCTGAGCCACAGTGAACTTGGAAGCTGAGAGTGAAAGGTGACCACACACTCTTCAGAACCCGCCACCACCCTGGCCTGAGGTCCCCAGTCTGGCCCACCTTGGTGACCTCCAGCCGCTGACGGTTGGCCCGTGGATCATTAGCTCCCGGGCACTGAAGCCGTCTTCGTGTCCAGACGAGCTGACAACTACGAATCCAATCTTGTGGGGCATCCTGTGCACTGGGCTGTTTATAAGGGCAGGAAAAACTTCTTTAAAGGAGCTTAGTGACAATTAACAATATTGAAAGCACTATTCATCCCTTGCTAATATATCAAACAATTCACAAAGTATCCAGAATTTTTTCTTCACTTTGAAAGAGTCTAGTTTTTTGTTAAACAATTTTTGTAAGAGACTCTAATTCTACTTCAGGTATCACTTAAGTTATCTTGACCCTTTCCAAATATATACACCCCAAATTTGGCCAGCATTGTGGGTTGAAGATGTGTTGAAGTCCTGACTCCTGATACCTGTGACCTTACGTGGAAACAGGGTTTTTGTAGATGGAATCGAGTTAAGATGAGGTCACACTGGAGTAGGGTGGTCCTACTCCAAAATGACTGGTGTCCTCATCAGAGACACACACACTCTGACAGGGAAAAGGCCATGTGATGGCTGCCAAGCGACCAGAGCGAAGCGTCTACAGGCCAAGGACACAAGGACTGCTGGGAAGCACAGGGCCTGGAAGAGGCAGGGAGGCGCCTCCCCGGGAGCCTGCAGAGAAGAGTATGGCCCTGCTGACACCTGGATTTCAGACTTCTGGTCTCCAGAATAAATTGTTGTTGTTTTAAGTCATCTAGTTTATGGTGCTTTGTTAGGACAAAAACGAAGTTTTTGTTTTGTATTTACAAATACAAAGGTTATAAGAGTTGGAAAACTAATACACAGTGTGTTAATAAGTTATGCAGATCTCAGGGGGAGAAGGAGGCCATTCATTCCACAGCATAGTAACTGCTAAGTGAGAACACATGACCCAAGAAGGGAGAGCAGGACATGCACCCCAGAGCCCAGCTGAGCAACTGACCCCAAGGAGACAGTAAGTACTGGCTGAGTGATTTTTTATGCCATGACTTCCTAGCGAACCTGCCTTTGTTCCCAGTTAAGTACCACTTTGGGGGCAGATGTCATGCCGTCTAGTTTTGCCTGCTCGACATCCACCCCTGTCTTGGCTTGAAAAGAGCATCATGATGGCACTTTTCCTTAGTGACTCTGCCCTCCCTACCCTGCACTCCTCAGCTCCTGCCCATGGTCAGTCCACCGGTTCCACACTCCTCCTCAGTAATGGGTTCAGGGATGGGAACATGAGACCAGCACCCAAACTAGGCCAATGAGACTCAACCCCAGGGCTTTGCTGGGCCTACCGGGAAAAGAAGGCTCCTTTTTGCATGAGAATGTGTCCCTGGGGCCACTGGAGGCCACTAGGGGGTTCTTGCCAGACAGGGGGCACTGACAAAGGGGAGCAGAGATGCCTGCGGTGCCCGGAGGTGAAGTCTCATTTAGAGCCCATGCTACTCATGGGCTTCCGGTTATGTCCCATTACTGAGCCAATCAGAGCTCTCTGCAGAAAGCCAATCCGAGTTAGCTTTAAGTATCTGCAACCAGAAGGCCTTACTAAAATAGAGCGTAAAGAATTCTCCAAAAGGTCTCCGGGCTAGAAGAATTAAAATCAGCTGAAACTCTGAATAGGAGGTGCCATCTAATGAATTCCAGTGCAATTTTGCTTATTTTAAAATGCTTTACGCATGATACAGATCCTTCTTTTACTTTCATCGAGAACCTGAAGAGGACAATGTCTAAATTAGTTACTGCCTGGCACTAGCTAATGTTTCTTGGAATGTATGAACAAAGCATTAAAAATTGAATGGCTAAAGATCCTAGTTATTTTCAATCCAAAGCTCACCTCAGGATGCCACAGTCCAGTGGAAGAAAACGAAAGCTGAGAAAATACTGAAAAGCAGAGAGAAAAAGTGAATGAGTGTGATATAACCCACCGTGGGCTGAGGAAGCCCCCCCCCTGTGTCCCCAGCACCATACGCCAGGCGTGGGATTGGTCCCCCGTGGCCTGCAGCTCCTCCCGCGTGCTCGGGCTCTCAGCCTGGCCTCACGTTTCCCTTGGCCTCCCCTTACCCACCTGCCATCTAGTTCTGTACCGTCCCCTCCCCATCCTTTGAATGCCAAGTCTCCGGTCCTGTCTTTGGAACAAATGATCACCTCCCTCTTCTCTGCCCCACTGTCTTTTCTAGAAGACCACGACTGGGCCAGGTCCCCAGCCGGTGCACAGCCCCGCCCACTCTCCTAAACTCCCCCTGGAGCCCAGCCAGAGTCACAGCCATTCATGTCCTGATTTGCAGCCCTTGATGGGATCCCTCTACAGGGTTGAAAGGTAGCTCTGTCCTGACCCAGTTTGCTGTTCGTACCCTCGCTTTTTGTCATGAACTCTAAATCCAGCCACGCTAAACCAATGCTAAGTTATATCCCTCCGCTCTGACTTCACCAAACCCTTTGATCACCTTTAAGAGCTGGGCCTGCTACTTCCTGCCCCACCTTGAAAACAGTAGGTATCTATTAAATATTTTCAACTGAATGTGATTATATATCCTGAAATTCTAAAATCTGCAGAACTCTTCACATTGCCCGCCTCGTGTAGGGACTCACTCCTTTACACGGGGCTTTGGCTTGCAGATGGACACTACTTTTAGGGCCTTTACCGCGCCAGGGACTGTCCTCAGCACTGGACATGTTCACACCACCTTGACAGATGAGGAAACTGAGCTACACAGGGGCCCTTGCCCGAGGTGGTCACAGCTAGCAAGCCACGCGGCGGTCTGCTCTGCTGGGCGTGTCCCCGAGTCTCCCATCTTGCCCTAATACCCTCTGCCAGGGTGCTCAGACTCGGGAACTTTCACGTCGGAACGGAGATGCAGCCATCATACTATGCTGCCTGAATGAAACAGAAGCAAGCACTGGCATTTAGGAACCAGGCAGGAGAAATGCCTGGGTGCTGTGGAGGCAAGGCGATCGCCTCAGCGTGGGTATTTGAAAAGGATTCCTTTTTGCTCACTCGCAAAGTCCTTCCACCTGGTACTCAGCATCCCCTTTGTGTTACATGAGATACTTGGGTGTCACTAAAGGATGCTACTATAGGCTCTGTAAAAGTCACCATTAACATTTTGGGAGAACCGAGGTGCAGTTCCATGCCCAGCTGTTAGCATGCAGGAGCCCAGCTGCAGCGGGGCACGCTGACCCTCCACTGCTCCCTTACCGCACACGCCCACGGGTAACTCAGGGGTCCTTTCATTAAGTCTACTTTTCAGTGTGTTAGGGTTATTGCTTTTGACATCTATAAATTAAGTTGAAACAATAGAGCAACTTCCCAACATTTTGCCACAAGACTAGGAGGCAAAATTTGTTTCCACTTTTCTTTTCAAGAAAATGTCAATGTTACACAAACAAACGGTTACTCTTAAAAGCAAAAGATTACTTTGGTCAAGTGACCTTAAGGATTGAAAGGGTCTCAGAATACCTGAAATGGAAGGGGGCTGGGTCAGAGCTGAACCTGCGCCCGGCAGAGCCACAGGCCTCACACGCTTCGGTCAGTCGGTCAGGAGCCCGGGCGCCGTCGGCTGTGCGCCCAGAGCAGAGGTCAGGGCCTGCGGACAGCGCCCGACGCCGAGGGCAGCGCTGGCTGGAGGCAGCGGCGGGCGGCTCGGGGGCTGGGTCGCAGAGCGCAGGCGGCGCCCACCCTCCCCGGCCAGGGCGCTGTTCTCCGCAGGGGGCGCCCCCGGGCCCGGCGCCACGGCCGCTAAGTCTGTCCAGACCCGCCCGCCCGCGCCCTGGGCCCGCGCTCCCGGCCAGCTCGGGGTACCTGTCAGGACGAAGGCCCGCCCGGACCTCGGCGCCCGCAAGACCGCCAGGGCCCTCCGCCGCCCTGGACCGGCCAGCAGCCCCGCGCCGCAGCCGCCTTGGCAACCGAGGTGCAGCCCCTGCCCCTGAGCGCAGAGCCGGGCCGCGGCTGCCGCTCTCATGACAACCAGGCAGGCGGGCTGCGCCGCGCCTGCGCACTAGGTGGGGCCGCGCCTCCGGGTCCCGAGGTCCCCTGGGTAATACAGTTTCCGGGGGCAGCGCCTGCGCATTAGGTGGGGCCGCGCCCCCGGGTCCCGAGGTCCCCTGGGTAATACAGTTTCCGGGGGCAGCGCCTGCGCATTAGGTGGGGCCGCGCCTCCGGGTCCCGAGGCCCCCGGAGTGATGGAGTTTTTGGATAAGACGCCTGCGCACAAGGCGGGGCCACGCCCCCACGTCCCCGGGACCCCTGGGTAATGGAGTTTCCGGGGGTGGCGCGAGGCCTGGGTCACTTCAGCGGAAGCCATCCGGCGCGGGGCCCCGGCGGCCCGGGTGAGGACGGGCCTGAGCCGAATCTGAGGATGTTTGAGGTGTTCCGGAAGCCCAAGACGTTCAAGCTGCGGGGCCTGCACAGCCAGAAGAAGTTTGGGGTGGCCGGGAGGAGCTGCCAGGAGGTGCTGCGGAAGGGGTGCCTCCACTTGCAGGTACCTGCCCGGGGCCGGGGCTGGGCTGGGTGCCGCCGGGGCGGAGGGCTCGTGCGCAGCGCGGCGCGACCCGCCGGGGGGTTGCCAGGAGCGCTGAGCCCAGGGCTGGCTAATCCCACAGCCCGTCTGCGGGTCTCAGCAGGGGATCCTAGGGGGCATGGGGCCTGGTGCGCAGAATTTGAGAAGACCTCCTCGGACCCCGGCGGAGCAGGTGTCGGGAGCGGTGCCACATCTCAGCAATGGCGTTAGTGAAGCCTTAGCCGTGTTCAGGTGCTGGCCCGCTTGGGAGACGCCTGCGCGAGTAAGAGGTGCTGCTTCAACCCCGGGGCTGTGGGGGACGTCAGCCCCACTCGGGATGCGGGGGTTTGTGGAGCGGCGCTGGGAGGACCCCTGCCTCCTCTGACCCTGCGGGTCCGGGCTGCTGCGGCCTGGGTTCCAGTGCACATGTGCTAATTCGCTGTAGGCGCTGGGCCTCTCTGGACCTCTAGCTCCCTTCTGTAAAGGGAAGGCCTCGGGGTCCGCGAGCCCTTCTAAATAAAGGCCCTTCCACCGATTTCAGCTGTCATTCTTACACCTACTGTATTTGTTGTCTTGACTGGGCAGGTGTGCACACGTGTGAGGGGGGAAGAGTTGCCATAAAAATTCATAAAACTCATCAGGGTCAAGCAACGGAGACCCAAACCTCAGAAAACACTTCCGCAGACCGAGGCAGTGAGTCTTTTTCCGTAAGCCGGTCTTCTTAATTAATTGGTGCATTCAGTGGGTGTGTCCGGCACCCTGTCCCGCGGTGCGCCCTCACTGATGGGGACACTTTACAGGCTTATGGAAGCAGTCAGGTGTCATTTTCAGATTTTATAACCTACAGCAGGGGCCCTTGTTTTGAGCACTGTTTAGACGCTGTCTTAGGTGTTTGGCCTGGGGGACCCACAGATGGCATCGCAAGCGCGTTCCTTAAAACCTAGCTTGTGCTTATTTGCGAGATCTGCAGATGGAAAGACCTCACCAAGGGCGGCCGCCCCAGAGGATGCGTCAGCATCCCACCCTGCTTGCCTCTCTGCAGCTCCCCGTTGCTGGCTCCCACCTGTGCCTCTATGAAGATGGCACGGAACTGACTGAAGATTACTTCCGGAGCGTCCCTGACAACTCAGAGCTCCTGCTCCTCACTTCGGGCCAGACCTGGCATGGCTGTGAGTGGCTGGGACCTGGGAGAGAGGCAGGGAAGCTGGTGTGGCTTTGGAGGTGCCAAGGGCCTGCCTGGGGAGTGGGGTCCCCTCTTGCCCTGAGCTCTAAAGGGGGAAGCCCCCGGGTGGCAGAGCTTAGATAGCAAAGCCCTCACACCTGGGTCCTGGAGCCCGGTAGTCCAGGTGTTATTTTCCATGTCTTTTTTTCTCTTCTAAGTCATTTTGTTTTGTATTTGTTCATTTGAGGTTCTGTGTAACTCCCCTGGGCAGAGGGTGGGATCTGGGGTCGGGCCCTGCACAGGTCTGTGGCTCAAGGAGGGCCAGAGAGTGATGCTGTCCTGTATGCTGGGCCGGGCAGCTTTCTGAGGATCGCTCACATGGTGCCCACTGTCTGTTCCCTGGTCGCTGTCTGCTGGCATGCTGTCCTCAGGGCTCTGTTGGGGACCTTGTCAGAGCAAGTGCTTTCAGAGGGGTGTCCTCTGGGGTGTCTGCCTTGAGGAACCAGTGGGACTCTACACTGGGGCCTTAGACCAACGGCAAGGTGTGTGCCCTGGCCGTGGGAGGGTTGTCGGCTCTTGTGCAAAGGGGCTTATGTTTCAGGAGGAGCTCCTGGTGCCCCAGAAAGGAGTTCCAAGGACGGAGGTGGAGGTGGTCCTGCCTCCTCCGCTGAAGGAGCAGAAAGAGAGGAGCCCACAATCCCATACGTGTGGCCTCACCCATGGCTGGGACTCTGCTGTCTGCAGTGAGGGGGGCACGTCTGTGTGTGCTTGATGTTGCACCGTAGCGACCACTGGCCCTTTTGCTCGGTACACTTCCTTTTTTTAAGAAAAGTTTAAACAGTTTATTTCAACTAGCAATGGATTCATAGGAAGTTGGGAAGATAATGAAGAAGGTCCCGTGTACCCTTTTCCCATGCCCCCCAAAGGTGGCAGCTGACAGTTTAGGGCAGAATCCAAACCAGGAGACTGACTGTGGTCCAGTGTGTGTGGCTCTGGGTTATCTTCTCTCTGTGTGTGTTCAGGTAGCCACCACTGCAGTGGACACAGAACTATCCCATCTGCCACCACAGTCCCCTCACGTGTACCCCTCTATGGTCATGCCTGCCCATCCTGCCACTGCTAAGCCCTGGCAACCACTGATGTGTCCGCTATCTCTATAATGTTCTCATTTGGAGAATGTTAGGCAAATGGAATCACACAGCATATGATCTTTTGAGCTGGGCTTTCCTCGTTGGGCCAAAGGCCCCTGAGGTTCATCTGAGTGGTGTGGGTACAAGTGGGCATCACTTTTTACTGCTAGTGGCATTCCATGGTGCAGCAGTGTCAGTCTGTTTTACCATCCACCAAGTGGGATGTTTTAGTTGTGTCATTTTTGCCTGTTAACATATAAAGCTCACATGGCCTGTTGTATACTGGGTTTTGTGTGGACATAAATTTGCATTTTTTTGGAATAGAAGCCCAGGGGTACAATTGCTGGGTTGTACGATAAGCGTATGTTTAGTTTTGAAAGACAAGGCTGTCCATTCTCACCAATTCTATTTAACACTGTACTGGAGGTTTTACCCAGGGCAGAAAAGGTGCTGGCAAGGAAGGTTACAAGATTGAAGATACAAGATTAGTACACAAAACCTGTTTTATTTCTATATATCTGCAATGAATAATCCAAAAATTAAAGTAAGGAAACAATGCCATTTACGGTATCAGTAAAAGTATAAAATACATAGGGATGATGTAACAAGAGGAGTGCAAAACGTATACTTTGAAGACTACAAAACATTGCTGAAAGAAATTAAGTATCTAAGGAAGTGGGAAAGCATCCATCCTATATCCACAGGTTGGGAGGTCAACATTGTTAATACTCTTCAGATTGAGCTATAGACCAGCACAGTCCCTGTCAGAGAATCCCTGCTGGTTCCTTTGCAGAAACTGACAAGCCGATTCTAATTCATCATTTGTAAGTAATTGCAAGGGACCCAGAATAGCCAAGGCTATCCTGAAAAAGAACACAGGAGGAGGACTCACAACTTCTCAACTCCAGAGCTTACTACAAAGCAATGGTTCATGCAGATCGAATCTACAGCGAGATGCCACCTCCCACCTTCAGGGCGACACCAAGTGCTGCCGAGGAGATGGGAGGCTGGCACCCGCAGCTGTCCCTGGGGATTTACAGTGGTGCTGCAGCTTTGGGAAAACAGTTTGGTGGTTCCTCGAATGACTAAACAGAATCAGCACATGACCCAGCCATTCCACGTCTAGGTATACACCCAAGAAATGAAGTACATGGCCACAAAAACCATGTACATGAATGTTTATAATGTTTTATTCATAATGGTCAAAAGGTAGAAACAGCCCAGATAATGCCCATGGGTAAACAAATGGATAAACAAAGTGTTGGACTCATGCCATGGAGTGTTATTTGACCTTGAAAAGGAATGACTGAAGTACTGACACACTACAACATGGATGACCCTTAAAATCATCAAGTGAATGAAGCCAGACGTGAAAGACCATATAATATATGATTCCATTTACAGTGAAAAGTCCAGAACAAAGAGGTCTACAGAGACAGGAAGTAGATTAGTGGTTGTTCAGGGATAGGGTGGGGAGATGCGGGGAGGGGGCTGAAAGCTGAGAGTATGGGATTTCTTTCCGAGGTGATGAAAATGTTCAAAAATTGAATGTGAAGATGGTTGTACAGCTGTGAATTTACTAAGAAACACTGAATTGTACATTTCAAATGGGTGAATTGTAAGGAATGGGAATTACATCTTAAGAAATAAGACATGAAAGATGGCGGCATGAGAGGTGGGACAGAGGCTTCCTCCTAAAACTGCATATAATATGAAAATATAATTAATACAACTAATCCTGAGAGAGCAACAGGAAACAGGACTGCACCTGGAGAAAAGAGCAGACCTCACGGAACAGGGTAACGTACCAAAGCTGTGGCCTGGTGGGACCCAAGCCCTTCCCCCACCCCAGCCCACTGGCGGGAGGAAGAGAAACGGACTGGGGAGGGAGTGGAGGTCTGGGACTGCTGAATATCTAACTCTGGAGATCTGCTCTGGGAGCACAAACCTACATTTCATGGTGCTTTCATGAGGCTGTCATGATTACGGGGTTGGAAAGCTAAGACAGGTAGAATTCCTGGAGGGACTGAGATTCCAGCCACTTGTGGAAAGCAGGGATTCGTATCTGGCTGCTCTGGGACAAAAGCTTATACCTGTGTGCTCGGCCCACTGGTTCAGGCAGTGGAGACAGACACAGTAGCCGGGAGGCGGGGAACATCTTTCCTACCCCCAGGCACCAATACCGGTACTCTGTGACCCCCGACATTGCTTCAGGGGCTGAGCAGCTCCAGAATAGAGCTTCTGGACACTAGAGGGCGCCATCTACAAGCATTAAACGCCAAAGGAACCTTGTCCAGAGTAAAATTAATATAACCCCTGAGAAAGATGACATGAACCTCATGACCCTTCCTGAAAGGGAGTTCAAAATAAAAAATCATTAACATGCTAATGGAGGTATGGAAAGATATTCAAGAACTCAGGAATGAATTCCAGTTGGAGATCCAATCGTTGAGGAGCACAGTGGAGGGTACTAAAAGCCGGTTGGATACGGTGGAGGACACGATAAATGAAATAGAAACTAGAGAAGAGGAACACAAAGAAGCTGAGGCACAGAGAGAAAAAAGGATCTCTAGGAATGAAAATATTGAGAGAACTGTGTGACCAATCAAAATGGAACAAATTTGCATTATAGGGGTACCAGAAGAAGAAGAAAAGAGAGAGAAAGGGATAGAAAGTGTCTTGGAGGAGGTAATTGCTGAAAAAGTTCCTAAGCTGGGGAAGGAGATAGTCTCTCAGGCCATAGAGATCCCCAGATCTCCCAACACAAGGGACCCAAGGAAGACAACACCAAGACACATAGTAATAAAAATGGCAAAGATCAAGGATAAGGACAGACTGTTAAAAGCAG